GGTGTCTGTGTGTGTGTGTCTGTGTGTGTGTCTGTGTGTGTGTGTGTGTGTGTGTGGGCTAGAGTGTATCAACAAGGCTAAACTGGAGGTGAGTGTGTGTGTGTGTGTTTGAGTGAGTGTGTGTTTGAGTGTGTATGTGTGTTTGTGTGTGTGTATGTATGTATGTGTGTGTGTATGTGTGTGTGTTTTAGGAACTACATATCCCTTTTGAAAAGTCACTGGGATATTACGAAGCATTGTGAATGAACATTAGGTCCGTATGATATTACTGAGTTGAATTTAGGATGTTTACTCTTTTCTTCTTTCTTTTCCGTGCAGGTTGAAAAATCTCGAGACGAAGCGAAGAATCAGAACGCTGGGCTTGTTCAAGAGAGGGACTCGCTGCAGCAGGAGCTGTTCACGATAAAGAGCGACTCACAAACCAACAACATCAAAGTGGACGAGATGAAGAGAGAGGTTTGAATTGTTTTGGGGGTTTTTTTTTCATGTAGAACCTAGAAATTTGAGGACCTAACGACCTGTACCAATTTGCACGCCAACAAATGCACCTCTAGAGGGTTTTGCTCCTTCTTTTTTATCAAACATTTATCGTCATTATCTCTCATGTTTAATGGGGGATTTTTCATCATGTTTTATGGGGGTTTTTATCATGTAGCATAGTAACATGTTTTATGGGGGATTTTTCATCATGTTTTATGGGGGTTTTTATCATGTAGCATAGTAACATGTTTTATGGGGGATTTTTCATCATGTTTTATGGGGGTTTTTATCATGTAGCATAGTAACATGTTTTATGGGGGATTTTTCATCAATGTTTGCGGGGGGGAGGGGGGTTAAAATGTGTTTTCTGGGCTGTTGTTGTTTTTTTTTAAAATCATGTTCTCTGTGTGTGGTTTCAGCTGGAACAGTTCCAGAAGGAGTCTGAGAAGAAGGCAGAAGAACTGATGCAGAAGTCCCAGACAGACGCAGAGCTCATGTCACACGAATTGTAAGACTGGCTTCTCTTTGTGACGCATTTCTGTTGTATTGGGAGAAAAGTTGTGTTGTGTGGTGTTCAGGAAGGAGGGGGGGATGTGATGAGATGGGGTATCCTTGGGGGTTTTTTTTGTGACATTGCTTCAAAGGGAAGTTTCGTGGGTGGTTGGCATGTGTTCTGGTGGGGTTTGCTCTTTCTTTCTTATCAAACATCTATCGTTCTGATCTCTCCTCCTTTTTTGTGTTTGTTACTCTCTTGTGACACCTCTAATCTTCGGCACTTATATGACCTGATTGTGTTGCAAGTACCGAAAAACTACTAAAACTGTTGACTGTGGCTTCTCATCTGTGGTGGTCAGGCAATCGGTGAAGACGTCGCTGCATGAGATGACGGACAAGGTCACGTCGAAGGATCGGGAGATTGCCGCTCTTAAGGAGGAGCTGGCCCAGAAAAACAAAGCAGCGCAGGACAGAGAAGTGGTGAGTTTTTGTTTACTTAAGGGGAGACCCAGGTCTGTGAGTCCAGAGAATGTCGATAATAATTTTCACAAAATCAATTTTTTTGGGTGGGTTTTTTTGCGGAAGAAAATACTGTGACATCTGTTTTATTGGGTCACAATTACAAAACTTGAAAAAACCGCGCCCTAAATGACCTACAAGGGCGTTTGAAAAGTGCATGTTGAACTAAAAGTCCTTGAAAAATTCATGTTTTTTCTGTTTTTCTCAAAAACCTGCTTTTTGACATAATTGACCTCCTTAGTGCAAGGAGTTTCCAAAACCTACTGAAGCGAGAAGCTTCAAATTTGGCATACAAGTGCTTTAAGATCTATTCTGGAAATGTATGTGAAGAAATTGAGAAATATTAGCAATTTGTGGAAATATTCAAATTTTTTGTAACATATACCGCAAAATTTCATCAACTGACTCACAGGGGTCCACTGACTTTGGGCTCACTTTTTTTTTTTTAAGTTAGGTCAAAATCCCCGCATAGATCTACAGTCCATATAGATTTGTACCTGTGTGCCAAATTTCAGACTAAAGTTTCGATACTTTCTATGAAATTCTTCTGCACTAAGAAACTTGTTTGAAAATCCGAGATGGCCGCCACAGAGACTAAGTATTTCAGAAAAATAATCAACACATTCACCCTTAGTACATCCTATCTAGCTATGAACTTATTGCACAATTACATGAGAGTGACTAAAAGTCATTCGTTTAGAAAATTTTTCCGGGAGTGTACATCTCCGGTCCTCATTTTGTCTAAAGCCAAAGGTTGTAACGTCTACAACTTATACAACAATTGACTTATCATTTTCACTTTTTGTCTGTTAACAGTTGGCGAAAGAAAAAGAAGTATCATTTTCACTTTTTGTCTGTTAACAGTTGGCGAAAGAAAAAGAAGTATCATTTTCATTTTTTTGTCTGTTTCAGTTGGCAAAAGAAAAAGTGGAATTGTTGAAAGAACAGGAGGTGGCACAGGAAAGGTCAGTGTGGCAGCTCGCCCTGTGTGTGTTTTCTCTGGGGGTTTTATACCGTAGTTGTAGTTTTGTTCTTTTGGTTTTTTGGTTTGTTTTTTTACTGTTTGGGGATTTGAAATTTTTACATTTCTTTTTTCA